CGTTGACGTTGGAGTTGATGCTGATGCATGACAGCAAACAAAATATGTACAAATAGTAATAACGACCGCAGGGAGGAGAGATGAGTCGTCGGTAGGTGTATAGCATTTGTGGAGACTGTCTGTGGAGGACGAAGGGAGTGCGGTCGGGTGGCAGCGGAAACAATTTAAACAATTCCAATGAAACATGAGACAACAACTGGCGGCAGTGTGGCCGTGGACCGGCGGGCAGACGACTGCATTCATGCAGCCCCATCAATTGTGGCAGGCGGTGGACTATGCATAGGCAGGAAAGTTATGCCGATGCAGGCAAATAGACACCGACAGACAGAAAAGCGGCAACGGCCTGGACAGCAGGTTAGCTGGCATTACGTAGAAGTTGGAATGGCATGCGTTGGAGGGAAAGAATTGCAAGAGGATAAGGTGCTGGGTCGGTATGTGCCAGAAAGAGAGATAAAGAGAGAGAAAATAATAACAACAGAGTTAAGGCTGCGGCAGCCATGGTTGGGGAATTCCGTGAATACTGCCGAGCACCTAGTTGTATGCAAAGGAATGTGTATTCAGGCATAAAAGGCATTGACATTGTAAAAATTGTTGAATGGACTGAATTGTGGTGCAAAAACGGCAAAATAAATTACAAACAAATACAGAAAATATTGAAAAAAAGTGGCAAATAATATAAAATGAGTTGAGCAGAAGGACGCAGAAGAGCGAAAATGAATGGCATGCCTTGCCATGCTGCGGTATGCAAACACAGAGGGCAGTAAAGCGGTGAGTAAAGCGCAAAAAAGTAGTTAACCGAAGATTGAAATGTAAAATAAATAAATGCGGCAGTACACCTGCCTCTTACCTCCGTAGCGAAGTCCATTAAAGCACGCCGGATTCTTGCAGCGCAAAAGCCAGCATTAAGCGACCTCAAAGTATTGCAACGCGCTGCGAGTACACGCAGCAGCATTTGTCGTCCTCTGCGTGGTCTGTCTGTTTACCTCGCGCYKACTGGCTGGGTAACTTATGACGATAACACGTGCGCTGCGTCACGTGCACTTGATCGCCATATTTGTCAGGTGGAAATGATGATGCCAATATGTGTGTGTCTTTTGAGTGTGTTGACTTTTGTGGCAAGTTGATTATTACGGGCTCTAGTGGCGGCGTCATCTATTGGCACTCCAATGCGGCACATACATACTTATATATGTATTAAGGTAGTTGTGTGTGATCGTATTGAGTTCACTGCGTTCGTATTGAGTTCACTGCAAAACTCTATAGCTTTGGCATCTGCATTACGCCTGATTTATGACTGATTACGTTTTCGCATTCCATGCACCGTTGGCTGAATGAAGTGACGATGCACTGTGCGCTGCATATTTTTACGAGCCTATAGATTTCATACAATTGTTGGGAAATAATGAATTACATTTGGCAGCAAAAAGTTCGCTGTTCAGTAGTCGAAGATCGCTGGAATGCAATGAATTAGTTGTATTCTGTTTTTTCTGAAATATTACGGAGTTTGAGAAAATTGTATATTTTAAGCGCATAGTTATTCAGCGCTACTTTAAAGGTATATTTTACATAAATAGCAAAACATAGCATAATCCAATTAAAATTAAAATTGCTATTTGTATAAAGCATAATTTTAAGGTAACGCTGAATAAGTGTATTATGCGCTGAATATGTAAAAACTCAAAATTTTAACATTACTTGCTATATTTCGAAGTGATTATTAATTGCTTATTTAGTGTTATTTGCCATTAGATTTATCGCTTATAAATCATCACATCTTGTCTGTATGATGTGGTAATTCGTATTTTATTAAACTCTAATGCTATTTTGCGTTGTGAAAGTATTCAGCGGAACAGTAAGATTCATTCAGCAAGGGTACCTGTAATGCTATTAACAAACACCAGGTTTAATGTAATTTTTGGACAATTTAGCTCAATTCAGCAACTATAATCCATGTGTCGAAGAGTACTTATAGCTTTAAAAACATAAATGTAGAGCTATTTTTCTGCGAGTTTTAACAATTCAGCTAGGAGTTGTTAAAGCTGCTCTTAACTAAAAAGTTAGACTCTTATATTTTTTAATTCAATTAACAGCAAKACCCTTCACTGCTCAATTCAGCAACTTTAGTATATGCTCCAAGATATTTATAACTTTGAAGATAAAACACTGTTATCTCATTTATGTGATTTTTAACAATTCAGCTCGGTGTTTAATGAAGAAATAAGACGATTTAAACTAAATACTTAGAATATTTTATTTTTTATTCAACTTATATACAAATTTATTCAACGGAAGAGTCGGCCTTATTCAGCAACAATTTTCGGAACTATTTTATTCACTATTCTAAGGTTTTACATATTTTTAAGATAATTCAGCTCAATTCAGCAACTTACTCCAAGATATTTATGATAGTTAACAGAACTGTTACTTTTCTGCGACATTTAACAATTCAGCTCGGTGTTTCTATTTTTAATACAAATAATTTATTGTAATATCAATACTTTGGTTGCTGTTAATATTTTCTTTGGGCACAATATATTGCAGGTCGCAGAGCACATACACAATTTTTTATCTATCTCCCTTTAAAATAATGTGTGCTGCTCTCAGGGGAGTTGGCCTTGCTTGGGTTTAATATTTTAACCACATAATAAAGTTAGTCTTGCATTTTAATTAGCAGCAACGAATAATAAGGTGAGAGAAACCCTGAAAAARATGTGCAATTGCACTACCGCATTTCTAATGAATTAAGGGCATATTTTAAATGCAAAAGAAAATTTAATAAAAACCACAAAGCAATATAATAAAAAAGTAAAATTCAAATGTGAACAAAAAAACTATAACATGTAGATGCTTGCCTATGAAATTCTGCAAAACCTGGCATCACTTGTATAARACTTGCATAAATATTTTTGCAACACAAAGCAAGGCACAAGGGAATAAACAAATAAGAAAAACAAGCCAAAGCCAACAGGCTGGCAATGAAATATTGAAGAAAATGCCTGCAGACGAAAGAGTAGCGAAGAAACGACGCAGGTGAACGAACAAATTAACATGAGAGTCTACAAGCAGGCAAACACAGTGCTATCAACAAAAGAAGGCCATGCAAGAAGGTAAAGGAAAATAAAATTTGTAAAAAAAAGGGAAATAAAGTCAATGCACGCATTTCAATAAAGGCAGCAGCAAGCCGGCAACAAAAGAAAGCAATGGCGTACAGCAAAGAAATGCAGTAGAAATCAACATTGAGCGCAGGAAAAAATAAGATTGGCAATGGGAAAAGACCCCGACCACAGTGACCGTTTTTGAAACACCACGGCGTATGASTAATACCGCAGCCGTTTCAGGAAGCAACCGCCTAGACATACAAATTGAATGAAATCAACTCGTTAAAAAGTAAATAAGGCTGATGAATGGATACCAAAAACAGGAAAAAAGCAGGCGAAAAAACAATAATGATAACAGTAACGAAGCCAAAGCAGATGTTGGTCTGCGCAAGCCGCACGGCTGCCAAGCTAGTTAAGGTTACGAGGGTTGCTGCAGCAAATTTACTGGGTATGGCTGTGGGGCTAGCACCTACACATTGCATGCTGCTTCATGGCGTCAGCAAGCTTTTCAAATAAACCAAGCTAAGCAGAAGAATTACCTCAGTAGGTAGACAAAAGCACAGGCTGGAAAAAAATCACAACACACATACGCTCGTAGAAAAGTAGCCGTATGCATCATGTGGCTTGAAGCCCGTAGAGTCAGCACGGTCTTTTAAATATTCCAAGCTTACCGCACACAAACTGCTAGCTGGTTATAAATGAGCATGAAAAAAATTTCTTTCGAATGACTGCATGTGTATACATTTCAGCAGCCGCACAGGAATAGCAACAACAATGTGCTGCAAGGTCATATGAAGGGCGGAAAGCGAGTGGAAATAAAAAATTGCATGAAACTGACTCGCAAATACGCATGCAGACAGTAAAAAAGGTATAGCTGGCCTGGGCTCTCATTGATTACCAGCGTACGCTCTCGTTTTTATAAATATACAATTGCCAAAGCTTGCAAGTGTATGATAGATTATAACAAGGTGTGCTTGGTGGCTCAAGCAGTTTTAGGAGGGCAAAYCCGGAAGCGCTCTAGGGACTATATAATGAATATATTATGATGACATTTGCAGGAAAATTGAGCAGCATCGAATGCAATTGGTGATTCAGGGAGCTTTTGCAATGCAAAGAAAGAATGTTATGCAGTAGAGGCGCATAGAGCTTAATTGCTCCTGTAGGGATGAGACAGTGCAAAGTTGAAAAAGTCGATGAAATTATAGAATATATTGACCAGGACCATTACATAAGTAGCCATGACATCGCTAAGAAACCAAACATTCATCACAAAACGGTTTTGAACCATTTAAAAAAGGCATGCTACAAAAAGAAGCTTGATGTTTGGGTACCACATAAACTGTCGAATTAACATCTGCGATTCTTTGCTGAAATGAAATGAAATATTTCCCATTTCTGAAGCGAATGGTAACAGGAGACAAAAAGCGGATCAAAAACGACAATAATGTGCGAAAAGAAAAAACAACAGAAAGGTCTTTGTTTTCCATCAAGACAACGCTAGACCACACATATCTTTGATGACTCGGAAAACTGGGAGAGATTGGGTGGAAAATTTTGATGCATCCACCATATAGCACTAACCTTGTACCAACGGCCTACCATTTGTTTCGGTCAATGCTGAACTCCCCTAATGGAGTAAAGTTGGCTTCAAGAGAAGCCTGTGAAAATTACTTGTCGCAGTTTTTCGCCGAAAAACCAGATAACTTTACACTGATGGAATAATGCCTCTAGCAGAAAAATGCCAAAAATGGTCAACAAATAGTACAATTTTTCTTTAAGGTTCATTAGAAAAAAAAATAAGTTGAAATTTTATTAGAAATACGAAAATACTTTTTTGACTACCTATTATTTCTCCTGGATCCATACACCCATTTAAAGATAACGCATTCATTTAAAACCTCATTACAGTTCAAATGTGTAAGTTTATTTATCATTTAGTAAACAATTTTAAACCCACCACCAAAAACATTTAAAGAATATTACAATTTTGCGCTATTTTTGATTTACAGCCCACGCTTCCAAAATTTACTTTTTCGATAACATGCATGCGGTGATTTTGAAGGCTGTATCGCATGGCGTTGAACCAGACAAATCTTTGCATCCATCCACAGCAGCGACCAATTTATCGTCTTTAACCTTAGCTTTAGCAACATCAGGTTTGAAGTTGCCCGATTCATCCATGATGCCCTGCTTCACCATAATACATTGGCTGCTGCACTTTAAATTATCCGGAACGGTTGTTAATTTACCCTCCATAAAGTCGTGGAAATCTTTTAGCGATACATTGTGCTCCTTATTRCAGTCCTCGATGTATCCGCGCATTTCTGGATCATTTGGGTTGCACTGTTGAAGAAATCGGTGATAGTTGTGTGAAAAATACTTTCTTTGCGGTTTGAAAATGTGAACTTACCAACACAACAGCGCTGCCAACCACTAATAGAGCAATAGTAACAAACGATTTCATGTTGAAATTATTTTTAGGCTCTTACCATCACAAGCTTTGAAATACAAGTTGTTCCACAGCTGACCGCAGCTCGCATTTATACTGAAAATAATTGCTGTAATAGTCATAGATCATTGACTGAGCGATCGACAGTAGGGGTTTTTCACACTGAATAATTTGTTTTCACTATTTTTTTTTTTTTTTTTGTAATTGCTGATTTTGTCTTCCTTATGAGCGTAGTTCTAATTAAAGCGAGATTTTTTGCTGATACTTAYTTGCACGCGTAAATTGTTTAGTTCCGCAGCGTGATTTGTCACTTTAACAGCTATTTCGCACGAGACTATATCAAAATGTTTTTCGGTTCGCAATTCGTTTGGAATTCACACYCCAACTCAGTTCTAATTTTAATTTGTATATAAAGTAAATTTTATAATAATTACAAAAGCCATTAAAAAATAGTGCATCAATTTTGTATGACATTTGAAGCTATTAAATGATAGTGTTAAAATGTATTAACAATGTAGTATCTATTTTGAGATTATATGGGTTATAGGGTTTCATTAGTGACTTCTTTATGACTGACTTCATGATTATTAAAAATCATTAAAATTAACAATTTGGAATGACAGAGATATTAACCAGTCTCATTCAGAAAAAAATTTATAGCCRAAAGGCAAAAAAGAGGAAGATAGTCCAACTTGAAATCTTTATTGAACGCAAATTTCGCTTTAGAAACTTCATTTAATTTCATTMATATAATGGAGAACATTTATTATCATTCGAAAAAATATTCTTTGGCATTTATTATTTTTAAGATTATCTCTTTCTAATGTTGACCACGGCTACGTCTCTGATGGTCCCCCGTTAAGTWAAATTTTCGAAAAAGTCTAACTGTGTGATATCGCACGATCTTGGTGGATAATCCACCTACCCAAAACGTTAAATTATCTGCTCACCGAAGTGTTGTCTYAATAAATCCATTGAATGATGGGATATGTGGTGCCGTCATGTGGAAACCAACTGTCGCCGACATCATGAGCTTCAATTTCAGCCATCACATAGTCGGATAYCATGGCGCGATAAAGGTCGCTATTGACAGTTAYGTTCTCATCTTCTYGTTCTCGTATTATCTTAGAAGAATATGGCTCACAAGCCAMAGCAAACCGATGTTTCATCCTGGATGAAATGGCAGTTCTTCAATCTTTTCAGTTTGTTCTTCGATCCAAATACGGTAATTTTTCTTGTTTACATACCCATCGAGTCAGGATCTTCTTGGAACTTTTCAAGAGCCCATAAAGCGAAACGTTGTTCTTGCACAGGCTGTATTTTGTACACTTTCAATCTAAGATCTCGACGTTAAATGTGTTAAGTTGTTCCATACGTTAGCCCGAGTTGCTGCCAACGGTGCCGAATAGACATTTTACGGTCTTCGCGTACACCCTCAGTTACGTCTGCCATACTTTCTTCACCGTATGCTGGACGTGGTCTATTCGGTCGAATATTATCCAATACTGAATTCTGGGTTTCAACATGGGGGATGATGTTACGAACAGTACGCTCAGTAGGCCGATTATGTTGGCTATAAGATGGGCGAACACGTTCTTTACAAAACGTTAATTTTAGTAATAAAGTTGAAAAATTTTGTAAAAGTTGTTCAGTCATGAGTCTTTATATGATGAAATGCTAAACAATACTGAACAAAAATAGTATGACAGCTTGACACGACTTATGTGTGAACTGTCAAAAAAAAAAAAGAAAAGGCTTTTTAAAAAAGTGCTTCCACTTGGGATCACCSGTTAGATTGCCCTTGGCTAGAACCTTCACTATAAATGTGCCCCTAAAACAAAATAAAGCAGATTTCGACACTACTTTATAGTTAATTTGCAAATGTGATCTTTGAGGCAGTTTTATGCTGATTTCTTGTTGCTAAAATAGAAAGTGATAGTAATTGACAAAAATAGCTGCACGTGATGGACAATCTTTCAACTCAAATTCCAAATCGGGACACCAAAATAGCAAATTTTGCCTACAGATTTGTTGAGTGGTGTAATCATTGAAAACTTTAGCAACCATTCTATACTCAATCATGTACGGAGTGCTCACATTCGYACGCGAATGTAACCATATTTTCATTTTTAATGATTAATACCAGCGTATATATGCAAATAAAATGTGCTGATTTATTGCCTGGGCTAATTACCTCACAACTTTTGCTTTTTAAGCCACATTTTTGATTGCGCTTTTTCTCTAATAACACAGTAATTTAAAAATTAAAAAGCTTAGCAATAATTATGGCTATAAACAATTTGCCAAGTGCTGCTCTAACACAAAATCATATACCATTGCCTAATAAATATCAACTGAATTATACAAGTTAATTAACGGCATTAATTTATATGAGAAAATAAGGTCATTTCGGCTTTTGTTTAGGTAAGTATTTGAGTTTTGAGTTTGTGCTGGATTGGTTTGGTAATATGTTGAGCTGACAAAAATTATACATTACGTTGATAAAAATGCAATAAATTCAGCAGCAATATTTACAAAATTTAATACATTCAAAAACAGAGAAAATTTTTCAACTAAAATATTTATAAATTCTTAATAATTTGATGGCTTGGCAGTCCCAGCATACGACACATATACTATATCATATCTACGCTGTCCAAAATATACATTTGTTTTATTATAAAGCTTAAAAGCACGTGAAATCCTCCAAAGCATTTACAGTATCCCAACTTAACACATCACGCACACAACCGTACCTTGCTCGCATATAGTAATATGCTAAAAAAGCGGTAAATATTTCATTACCTTGACACTCAGCGCGCTGGCGTTGCATGCTGCGGCGCAGGTGAACCCATATGAATATCGCAAATTTAGTGGTAACAAGTGACCAAGCCGCCCCCCGCTCAATCCAAATGCTGGCATTAACTTTTGTGCAAGTGATACTGCTCAGGGATAAGGCGATCCCAAAACACGCACACATGCATAAAAAACTACGCCTGCTTGGGCATTGAGGCTTATGGGGTGTACTAATATAAAATTACGCTCATCCCAGTGGGTAGAAAACATTACTTGCCACTTAAACGCAAATATGCATAAATGTATATAAAATACGCAAACAACAACAACAAAAGCACTATAAAGTAGTTGGTTTGATATTCTTTAGATATGTATGTATGGGGTACTGTGTCATTGTACGCATGTTAAAGCTAGGGTCAGGTGGGTTGGTATTGGCGTGTGAATGTATGAAGTTTTGGGTAGGGGGTCGGAAATTTTAGTAGAAAGCACCTCGAATGTGCAAAAATACCACGTCGAAGTCGAATTATGAAAAAGGYGACATAGGGGAGGCTCTAATGGAAGTTTGAGGCAGGTGGTTTAGGACTTCGTTATAAAAAATTGGACACTGTCATATAGTTTGTGGAGCAGTGCTTTAACTTAAGAAATTACAGGGTTTGTCCGGAAAGAAATAGTATTGATTTTCTTTCGCTGCGATTGTCCTTGGGAGCGTGCGCGTACTAACTGGATTCGGTAGAGTGTGTTCGTAGCTAACGACTTACGACAACGCCACGGCGCACATTGCCTTTCTTGTGAACCTAACSAAGGTCGGCATCTCAACGCTTCCACAGCCACCATTCAGCCACTCGGACTTTTTTTTATTACCTTGCCTGAAAATGCTGGTGAAAGGCAAGCAATTTGAGACGAGAGTGGAGACAACATGCACCTTGGCTCTCAAGACTATTCCTGAGAAGGCATTCCGTAACGCCTTCAAAGCTGGGAAATCACTCTGGCAGCACTAMATCGACGCAGATGGAGCCTATTTTGGAAGCTTTTCAAAATAGTTCCTTTTAATAAATTTTTTTAAATCGACTCAGTCCTATTACTTTCCGAAGTCTTCAAATTTGGTCAAGAGATCGTTGAAGACATGCCTTGTCCTGGATGACCTTGAACCTCTTCAACTGATGATGATCTTAAAAAARTGAAGGGTAAGGTGCTTGAGTGTGTGAGAGACGGCAAGAGAGCGCGATATCTTTCGCAAGACATTTCGAATGATTTTGGTGTCATTTTTGGTTATGAAATGCGTTCTTGCTCAACTCGTCTGGAWAAAGCTGAATTTTCTTTAAAARGAGTACCGTAAACAGGTCTCTTTGAACATGCTTCATCGTGCGAATTCGAATTCCACATTTATGGAGGGCATTATAACTGCTGATGAGACATGAGTTTGACTTGCAAATRAATCTGCAATGGTAATGAAGGAAAAAAATTACTCGAARCCAAAGAAATCACGCCAAAGCCGCTCAGAAATCAAGGTRATGCTCATTGTTTGTTTTCGATATTCGCGAATTGGTGCATCATGAATTCCTTCCAGAGAGACATACGGTCAATAAGAAGTTYTATTTGTTGGTATTGAGGCATGTGCTTGAGACCATCCGTCGAAAATGAAAGGAATTGTAAAAGAACAATTCAAGGACTTTACACTCACTAATACAAGTACCTACAAATACATACACATAAATATTATTCCTACAAGCACTAACAAATTGCCATTTTTGTGTGTCATTTGAGGCCGTTGGCTCATAAAAACTCATTCAACCCCATAGGGACTTTTACTTGATGGCACACGCATATACTCGTATAGTACAAGACTCTGCTTGCGGCCTGCCGGAAATGCTACAAAGTATGCAGCCGTCCATATATGTGTATTTGACTAGAAATGTAGCCAAGCATAAAAAACAACAGCAGACTACAATAAAAATAAAAAAGAAKAAAAAATAAAAAATTGTAAAARYAAATAAATAAAAAATAGCACGGCATAAAACAGTAAAGCATGTTAAATTTAACATAAATTTGTTGTTAGTTTGACAGTATAACATTTCAGCTGCTGGCAACAAGCATTTGCACTGCGTCGGCCAATACAATGGGGAGCAAGACGAAATGTGTGCACGCGCATGGGGATGATTTCTGTTTGTATAACCATTTTTTGTGCAAAGCAAATATCTTCAGTTGTTTTTTTTTTTTTACTCCCAAAGCTCATGCTTCCCCAATTTTGTCCTGCTCGGGG